ATTGTAGGATCTGCTCCTATGTTTGCCCTTTTCTTCTTCATCTGGTAAGCAGGAGCAGGGCAGAGCTTCTGGAAGACACAAAACTGATGTGAGGGGTGGGAATGAGGAGGTGGCAGCAGCTCAGAACCAAGCTGGGCCTTTCCCATTGGAGTGCAGGTGCTGGAGGAGCTGCTGCAGAGCTCAGCACATCTCCCTGGGCACTGGACTGCTGAGAGCAGCAGCTGCTTTGCTTCAGGTCTTCAAATGTAGAGCCTAAATTTAAATTTTACCCTAAATACATTTTGGGTATTTAGACCCATCGATCCCATGGGCCATCCACTTCAGAGGTGGGCTTGATGATCCTCGCGGGTGCCTTCCAACGCAGAAGATTCTGGGTCTGATTCTGTGGTGGCCAAGGCTTGCTGGACATGGTCCCAGAGAAAGGGGCTGTGGGGGGACTCAGCAGGACACAGCAGCATGTCCTGGCCTCCTCCTGGCAGGGTGCTCCCAGAGTCAGCTCGCTGGCTGGTGACCAAAGGCAGAATCGAGGAAGCCAAGAAGGTTCTGCAGAAGGCGGCAGCCATCAACAAGCGCAGCCTCCCACCAGAGCTCCTGGAGCAGGTACTGGGGGTTCCTGTGCTCAGACACTGCCCTGGGCCCTGCAGCAGCCCCTGGAGCTCAGCTCATCCCACAAACGTCTCTCTGTTCCCACTGTGGATGCTCTGGCCATGGGCTGCGAGGGACCCCAGCTCCTGCTGCATCACACGGGGATGAGGCCAGGGAAGAGGCCCAGCTTCTGCTGAGGCTCAGCCTGGAGCTTTCTGGGGTCCCCCTGGGCATGTGGGAAGGACTGAAATGCTTCCCTGGCTTCTCTCCTGTCAGGGTTCCAAGAGTGTGACTGATGAGCAGAGTGTCTCTTTAGTCTCAGGGTTTCCATGCAGAAGTGCCTGAAGGGGAGGGAGTTCCCTCCTTGTCCTCCCCAAGGTTCCTACACTGGGGAAATGTTCATCCTGAGGAACCTCTCAGTCACCACCTCTGTGCTGGGCACCCAGAGCACAGAGGCACCAGCCCAGCCCCACTGGGCTGCCCTCCCTCCCAGAGCTCTGGGGGTCACAGGCCTGTCCATGAGGCTTTCCATGGTCTGCAGGTGGCAAAAGAGCTGGACATGGCTTTCCTTTTCCTGCTCTGACTCTTTGACTTCCTGTGTTTTGAAGCTGAAGCCTGAGAAAGAGGTTAAGTCTGGAAGTTTCCTGGATATCTTTCAGAAGAAGCACCTGCGGAAGGTGACTTTAATCATGTCATGTGCCTGGTAAGACATTCCCTGGTGCATTCTCCCCAAACTTCTATCTGAAACAAAAGAAGGAATTCACCTTGTGGGTTTTTGAGTGTTATTTGATGGGTGTTTCTGCTTCTGGCTGTTTAAGATGCTTTCTGGGAAAGGTTATAGGATTTCCAGCTTTGGCAGGCCTGTGGCATTCATCTGGTTTTACATCTCCTTGGAAATGCTGTGGCTTAGTCAGAATATTGTCATTGGAGATCAGTGCTACATTTCCTTATGGCTAACACCTGCTCAGTGCTACCCTGCCTGCCTTTCAGGTTTGTGAACAGCTTTGTCTACTATGGGCTGAGTCTGAACGTGACAAATTTTGGCCTGGACATCTACCTGACTCAGCTGGCCTTTGGAGCAGTGGAAATCCCAGCCCGTGTTGGTTGTATCTTCATTCTGCAGAGGTTTGGGAGGAGGAAAACGCAGGCTGTTCTCCTGGTGCTGAGTGGCCTGGTGTGTCTGATCATCACCGGCATCCCTGAAGGTGAACAACCTCGTCCCATATGGAGAGGACATCCTCTGGGACAGGAAGGCACAGAGCCAAACCCTTCCCTTGCTGGTCCCGTCCTCCCAGCCAGGGTGGCTCACACCCCTCTAGGCCCAAGCTGGGCCACAGGGCCTGGCTGAACCCAATGGGCCCATTCCAAAAAACCCAAACTTTTCTTGCTGATGGCGATAGTGGAGGGCAGAGCTGAGCCCCTGTCAAAAGAGCTGTGCTCTGGGAAAATTAATACCTGGGGAGGTGAGGTGGTGGATGCAGAGTGCAGTGAAAGTGGCCACCAGGCCAGAGCAGCCTGGTCCATGCTCAGACGCTGTCAGAGGCGGTGGCTCCCTGCAGGTGACACAGATGTCCCTGCAATCCCCATTCTCCATCTGTGAGCAGTTTTGAGCCCTCTCCCATCCCATAGCAGCCATCTCCTCCTCCCCTCAGACCAGCCCGTGGCAACCACCGTCCTGGCCACCATTGGCAAGTTTGCTGCCTCAGCCTCCTTCTCCACCTCCTACGTCTATGCTGCCGAGCTCTTCCCCACGGTCGTCAGGTGAGCTCTCCCCACACATCCGAGCTCCCCTCTGCCGTGGCTGGCAGCGGTGACGGGGCAGGAGCCCGGCTGTCCCCATGGCCACGCTCAGCCCCGTGGTGGCCTGGGGTGCTGAGCGCTGCCCACACCTCCTG